GTAGAGTTCGCACTTGACCTCACTCACCACTTCTCTCCGTTTGTTCCCATTGGGGCGAACTTAAACTCCACCGGCCACACATACTGTGTGTGTGTATGTTGCCGCGATGGAGATAGTCACTTCTATCGTAAGAACTACGCGAGTCCGAATGATTTGAAGTCTCACTCACATCCACAGGTTATCCAGGGGATACTCCTCGTGTTGGCACTGGGTGTTACGATCCTAAGATGTTGGGTCCGTCTTTGTATGGAGCACCGTTCGTTGACTCTACCCGACTACCTCGTTTGGGGAGGCTTCATTTGCGCGCTTGGATGGTTTGCCTGCTCTACAAGAGCGCTTTACATCTTGATTGATCATCCTCTGGACGAGGAGACAAGGAGCGACTCCGTCGAATACCTGAAAGTACGTCGACAACATGACCTCCAAGATACGCAACAAGACTAGTGAGCTGACAGGTGTTTACTGCTAGGTTGTCTTCGTGTCTATATACTTCTTCGACACGGGGTTGTACTTCCCCAAAGTTTCGCTGGTGGCTTTCTACTGGTGGTTGATCCCGCAAGGCTTCAGGCGTCTTCGTTACGCAGTCTATGCCACTACTGCGATCGTGGTCGCCTGCTTTGTTGCGAGCATACTGTGCGACACTCTCCTCGCACCGAATATCTCAGACAACTGGTACGAGTGCTCCGTCCTTACAATGATCGAGTCCTTCTTCAGCTAACATCTTGTGTTCAAAAGGTCTATTGAGAATCAGCTTAACTCAACGTGGAACACATACTCCAACTTGGTCGTCAACTGGACACTCAACTTTGGCACCGATCTGCTGCGTAAGTAGTCCAAATTCATCTTCCAAATTATGAGCTAACGCTGTCCCCAGTATTCGGCCTGCCATTTTTCATCTTCAACTGCTTGAAGCTGCGTAGAAGACAAAAGGTCGGCCTGGTAGGAATCTTCTCTCTAGGCGCCATCACCATGGCAATCAGTCTCGCCCGTTTCATCGTCTACAACATGGACTACGACATCGCCGACGCCGACGGCAGTACGTCACCCTTCCCATCTCCCCTCCCCAATCCTCCACTAACAGCCCCCAGACCTTTGGTGCACGGCCGAAATGTGCACAGCCGTCATCGTCGTCTCGCTCCCGTCCTTGAAGGCACTTATCATCAAACCCACACCCGCTACCTCATCCAACCGCAGCAACTCAGGCTATCTACAAGCTGGCTCCGGCAAAACGATTGGTAGCAAGGGTATCAACTTCAACGGACACAGCTCAAATATTCAGGGCGGCACTATGGACGATGAAATGGAGTTGACTTTTCTGGACCGAAAGGCTAGCCCTACACCAACTGGAACCACTGATGGGTCACGCTTGCAAGATGGGAAAGATAATGTAATGGTGACTACAGATTTCGAGGTCACCAGTACGAGGAACGTGTTTTAGATTGGTGCGTCAGTAATCCTGATCGTCCTTTAGACTGCATAAAAGATAGAATAGAATAATAGTAACGACTACACGTCTAATGTATTCACAGCGAACACTGTCCGCTCAATCCCCTGCTCCAATCCCTCGGGAACTAACCGTACCGAGATAGTCGAAACCGCATTTTCAGAATAGAATGCTCTGCGACATGTCTGCACATTTACCGCGTTGTAGTTCTCGCGATAAATAGTACGCGATAAGGACATCGAAGTTATAGCCCCTAGATCCTCGGTCTCTTCTCTAGTGAACATGACTGGGCCCTAAGTTGTCCTAGCTATGTAGGCGTAATATCATTGCGGAATAGCATGTGACGTTAAGTCGCGAAGCCGGACTCGAGAACTAGCCATATACACACCGTCTAATCGCACAAGCTCGCAGTCTATCTAGCACCGAGACGAACATATATCGCGCATTCGCATTGCCGCATCGTGAAGTCAAGCTATGCAGAAGATAGGTATAGGGAGATTGGCAGTCACGAACCCGTGTTGACGTCCGTGCGGTCATAACGGCAATGAGGAGGCGGTGCATCCCTCCCACTCCGCCCAACCACATCGCCCACCTGACCCCCGACCCACACTCCCGCCGTCATCCTCCACCGACTTCATCCTTTCCTCATCGAAGGTCGCACGCCGTTACTCACGCTTTACCCCGACCACCGTGCCCTGTACTTCGCGCCTGTTATCCACGCAAACGCACGACGACTCGCGCGACGCCTCGGACGCATCGCATGCCGCCGATATGAAGCCCAGTAGCCGCCTCGTTTCCGCGTCCGCAGTACTGCTGGCTTGGACGGGCACAGTACTAGCCGATGACACCATCTCAGCGACAAAGATCAAAGTGCAGCTTTTTGCTGCGCCGTCGTTCCTGAGCGAAGTTAGTGTTGACGCGTATAATAACCAGTGTCTCTCGCTGGATAATAATCTGTATGTTGCGCACATCTGTCGCTTTCACGTATGATTGGGGGAGTGGTTGTGCTAACGTAGGGGATACAGCATCGATGGGCGCGTACAAAGTATCTTAGTAGGCGGACACGACGTCAAGGCTGTGTTGGACAGGGATGATTACTGGAGCTGTCGATTTTATGAGTAAGTTCCTTCCTTGTTTTGGTGGTTGAGCTTGGTGTTCTTGAGTGCAGCAACTAATGCCACTACAGCAATTACGACTGCAGCGGCGACGAAAACATGGATCAGTTCCTCGCTATTTCCGATGGCGCGAATAACCTCGGGAGTGTTGGTTGGGGGACTAAGATACATGGGTTGAAGTGCAGTAATAAGGAGCACGACGACGACTGAATGGATGACGCATGAGGGAAAGAGATGGATACATGCTGCGATACATATGTGGAGCGATGTTCGATCCAGACAGAGTAGCGCACGTCGCGCGACGACACATTCCATATCACGGACGCCGACGATACACCTCCGCCGCGGAAACCGGGACGCGCCCGGGATGGTCAGGAGCATACCACACCGGCGTGTGCTGGTAGTATGGCGCGAGCTGGTCAAGTACACAAGCAGAGAGAGCAGTGGGTATATACCAAGGGCATGGTTCATGCGATATAGCGTTGGGGTTGGACTGGCGTTTACATTGGGGTTCTGCATCTACATGCGATGGGAGATGGCACCGGCGTTCGAAGTGCTCGACGCCCACTTAGTGCTGTATCAGTACCAGATAGCGACAAATCTAAATATAATGATTGTACCGAGCTTCTGTCAACGTTCGTCGGTGGTTGGCATGGGCGTGTTGTTTGTTGCTCGAGGGAAGTTGACATACTGAATCACGCCTTCGATGAGATATGTACGCTCTCTGTAGATGTCTAATCACTCATCCATTCATTCAATCATGCGATCATAAGCACTAGGGTATCTCCAGCGCAAAAACACATCCACAAAACACATCCACAAAACGCCATGCCATGCAACGCTCCCACTGCCCCCTCCCACCTACAAATCAATCAAATCCGGCGCCTCCCCACTCCCCACCCCCCTTAACAGCACAACCATATTCCCATTCTGACACGGCTCCCCAATCTTCTCACTAAACTTGAGCAACCGTCCCCCCTCCACATGGAAAACCCGTAACTTCTCCTCCTCGCCCCCACCCCGATTATTCACATTCTGCACCTGCAGCGCCTTCGCCGCCATATCCAACACGCGCCCCACAGTCCACTCTTTATTGTAGAAGAACTTCCCCGTGGGGTACTTGGCTTTCGTTGTATCGGCCGAGGCTTCGACGTGTAGGTAAATGCGTTTTTCAGCGGGGATGCTGGCTTCGCCTTTTGCGACGCGTTTGAGGGCGTTGAGTTCGGCTTGCGCGGAGGATGCGGCGGAGGAAGAGGATTTGCCTAGGCCGAGGAAACCGCCTGTTTTCTTGGATGAAGAGCGCCGTTTTTCGTCGTCCTTTTTCTTCTGCTCTGCCCATGCTTTCAGCCGAGTGAGAGCGGTTTGCGTGCGTGCTTGGACGTAGTTCTGGGGCCGCGCGCCGAGGGGTGTGAGGGTCGCGCAGGAATGGTCTTCTTCGAATCGGTGTTTGAGGCAGTATCGTCTGTTGCAGCGGGGACAGTGGACGCCTTGCGCGCGGGCGGTGTCTATGAAGGTCTTGCAGGAGGGGTCGGCGCATTGTGAGTCGTGGTTGTAGACGCTGGGTTTGGGGGCGGATGGGGTGGTGTTTTGGGTGTTTTTGGCTTTTTGCCGCGCCCATTCGCCTTCTTTGGGACATTTGTGTGCGTATTCGGTGCGGTGGTCGAGGCAGAATTTCCTTGGGGGAGTTGTTAGTATGGTGGTATACAGAGGACGCGTAGGCTTGAAGTTTGAAATGGAAGCAATGTTAGTAGTGGTGAACTTGGAGGAGCAAGGTACCTACCCGTGACAACTCTCGCAGCGGAACGGTAGGAAGTCTAGTACATTGCAGTATTCCATCTGGCAATGCGCCCCGATTGCTTCCAAGTCGCCCTTCATCTCGGTGTAGCTCGATTCGTTGGTTGCCATAGTTGTGGTGGGTATAGGAATGATATATGTGTAGAAGTCTAAGTGAAGAAGATGCTAGAGAGCTAACACGGAGGCGACAGTGTGTAATAACGAAGCTGAGCAAGCATCAGAAGCCTCGAGAAGGCGGTTAGGCTACCAAGAGCTTACGATTGTCGCCGCGCCATCTCGGAAGGCGATTCCGATGAATGTGGCGCTAACCGTGGATGATTACTAGCGTCAGGGTCCAGCAGCTGCCATCCATCTCATCTACGCCTGCCTTCACTCTTACTTTCACCACGACAACGATGTAAGTCATAATGCCAGCTACGGTTGGGCACATATTAGTCGCCTGTGCTTGACATAAAGCGGACGACATTCCGACCTGAGTTTATCGCGTTCATCATCCGGGCTGCAAGGCTGAAGCTCAGCCTCGCCAACACCATGTACAAGATCATGCACGCATTCTATTCGCTCAAAACGAGCTAAGTCAGCCGTGCTTATGCATATGAACCCATTCCCCGCTGTTGTTATCCATCTTTCTTATCACAACACCTCGAATGGCGGAGGTGGTAGGCGCCGCCGCCGCTGTTGTCCAGTTCGTGGACGTAGCTCTCCGACTTTCATCCTGTCTCGAACGCTTCTGCTCAGATGTGCGCAACGTGCCGCGCCGTTTTCTTCAGCTGCAGACCGACCTACGTCAGCAAATCGAGATCGCCCAACAGATCCAGAATCACCGCTTGCCTGGTTTCGCGACGGCAGTGGCGTCCTCGACTTTTGACACGCCTCTAGCTGAGTACGTTGATCTCGCTGAGGAGTTGTGTAAGACGCTGGAAGATCTACTTGGCCGTAAGAATGATGGCGCTTTGCGACGAGGCTGGGATGCTATTTGTTCCGTCCGTAAGAAAGAAGAGGTGGCAAACATATGCGATCGACTCGAACAGAAGAAAAGTACGCTCTCCTTGTGGCTGGAAGCAGCGAATCTGTAAGTAGAGTCCTAAGGATGTAGGATCTGGCTGGCCGGCCTGGGGATACCTTGTACTGACTAGCATACAGCAAGCTCACATCGAGTATTGCGGCGACCACAGACCAGACGCAGCTTGATGTCATAGATACCCTGACCCTCATCAAGACAGTTGACAACACGTCGAAGAATATCGCAACAAACACAGTACAGCTACTTCCTCACATCGAACAGATCGACCGAACCATAGCAACCACATCCATCAGAACAGAAAGCATTTTACACGATACCCAACGCCTCTTGACAGGATACAATGCGGATGCATCGACACGCGAGTCGATTCACCAAAGCACGACAATGATTTTGGCAAATACAGAGCAGATCATGGCGGCCATCGAAAAGTTGACCCTGACCCCGGGCAAACACAGCCCCCACGCACAACCCGGCTACGTTACGGACCGCATGTATGTCGGCTCCTCGGCAAGCCAGCAAGTTCAGCAAAGCACGGTAAACCATCGCCGTAGACCTCAAAGATGCAAATGCCGTACTGTCAGTACTGCACGTCGGTGGCAGCCGTTGTCCATCCTTCGATTTACACGAACTTTCCGAACGCAACACTTCTCATACTGTCCGGATTACCGAAACTCGGAGCAAAGCCTTGAGGTTACCATGCAGATTGTTCCTCCTTCGTGGCTTCTTTACCATACCATCGACTTTGGTACTCGGGTAAGGAACTGGTCAACTATGAACCAATTCTCAGTCAGTCCAATCGTAATCGGTACAAGCCGACTTGTTGATTCGCAGATGTCACCTGCATTTCTTGCGATCGCGAACACTGACAACGAGCTCAGTGAGCTTAAACACCCTCAACTCACTTGTCGTCACCCTCACGTTGTGGCTCAGCTCCACAACACTCTGCAACGGATATTCGACGACGGAGAAGCTTCAGCCCTCGACGTAGACAGCGATGGCCGCACCGTCTTGAACGTAAGTCTTCACAGTTGAGTGGCAGAGCCATGATTTAACGAGCATTCGCTAGGAAACTGTTCGGCTTTTCACTATACATGATGGAGTTAATGGTTCTTCATGCGTTCCGGAATTCTCGGCTCTTCTTCAATTCTTATTGGACAAAGGGGCCGATCCCAACGTGATAAGAGATGCCAAGCTGTCCTTTACATTCGGTAATACAATGCACCATGGGGGGACCACATGTGATCAACTCATGGACCCAATGTATTTCCTTTCATTCTCCGGTGCTGTGGCACCCAAAGAACTCCAGACCATCCTTGAACTACTCGTAAAGGCTGAGGGACACACATCGAAACCTTTTATAGGTTCCAGATGCGCAGGTGATAGATGCATTGGGTTTCGCCGGGATATCACACAACTGAGATTGTTTGAAGACCAAATCGATAGTAAGTGGCTCAGTTTGTGCTAAATAAACTCCTATTGATCATTCATTTTAGTCACGGACTTAGGTGATCTTGTGCCAATCATTCTGGAACAACAAGAGAATCATTTCTACCGCATGATTAGAAAGACTGAGCCATCGATACTGAATCGTAGATCAACGATCAATGGACTTGCTCCGATTCATTTCGCCGTCTTCTGGCCAACTGGACTGAGGTTACTAGTGGAAAGAGGTGTGGATCTGAACATTGAAGACAACTATGGTCGGCGACCTTTACATCTTGCCGTGGCCCTAGGGATGATCGATTCTGTCCGATGCCTGCTCAACGCAGACTGCGGGCTCTTTACTCCATCAGAAGACTTCAGCCTGTTGCAATATGCTCTAAGCTTGCGGGATGAGGAAGCAAGATCAAACATACTTCTTCAACTCACCCGGGCGCTAACTGATCGACACACTCGTCTGATCGATCTGGCTAACCTGTGTTTGCCACCATCGGTTTTTGATAAGCTCGGGTTGGCGCCCAACGGAGTACAGGAACAGCGTGCGCCTTCAATCGTCGAAAGGCTTCTATCGCATGGGATCGATGTTCCCCCAGCTCTCGAGCTCGATGGCAAGGGAGTGTATGATTCCTTCACAATCGGCCCTGCCAAGGCTCACATGAGACCAGATGCAGCAGACGCACTACTGTCTGCTGGATTTCATCATATTGACAAACCCGACAAGCACGGGTGGACGCCGTTTTTGCAAAGTTGGTTTTATCGTAACTTTAAGATGGTAGATTGGTATGAGAGCAGGGGGGTGGCGTTAGATTGCAGGCACACGGAGACTCATTTGACTGGTCTTCATCTTTATGCAAAGAGCATGGAACTCGTAGGGACTCTTTCCAACGTCACATCAAGCATGGAAAAACACTACGTTGAATCGATACAGAAGAAGCTCGGAATACCCTACGATAATTGCACTTGTGCATGCTCCCCCAAGGGCTGCACGCCTGTCAAATTCATATTCGAAGAAGACGATCAATTCTACTACAACCCACAAAAAGATCAAATCCGAAGGTTCATCAAAAACTTGAACCCACCACAGGCTCTACTGAATCAGTACATCTACCATTTCACGCGACATATTCTGTTCGATCTCTTGGGTGGTGAGCATACTTGCTGTTCCCTTGGACAGGCGTATTGGTCGGCATGGCACCTTCAGAAACCCACAAAGATATACCGCTGGCGAAAGAGATTTCGCGGCTCCGGAAACATCACTGCTAAGCATTGCCAGTGCTGCAAGAATGGACTTCCTGTGCCACGATGGGCGAGTTTACGAGCTCTACAAGACCCTGACGTCTTCAGCGCAACTCTGGACTCTGCGATGTCACACTACGACAAGATGAAACGTCCGGACACTATGGCACCAGAGGAACAAGGTTACGAGTATATCAAGTGGATTTTGAAGGAAGGGTACTTGGACATCAATGTAAGTAACGGCTGCGAACATGACCTGGATGAAGACTCGGAGTAAGATCTGGACGAAGAGTTCGTACCTCAGTAAAACAATACATGCGTCCAGATCGCAAACTCTATCACATTTCACTACCTTGCATACCATTCATTAAAGACGACAAAATCACTGTATTAATACTCCTACCAAACGCCGAATCCATGCTTATGCATCTACCCAACGCCATATCCAAGAGTTTACTTGCTACCAATACAATCCAATGCACAAGCAAAATCACGACCTAACTTTCGTATCCGCATCAGCAACCCTCCCAACCAACCCCCTAATCTTCGGCCAAAGCTCCGGAATGCGGAAAGGTTTCGAAATCGCATCGTCCATCCCCGACGCCAGCGACTGTTCAATCTGCTCCATACGCGCATTCGCACTCACAGCCAGAATAGGCAGACGAAGCGATTGCTTATCCGGCCGCTCATGCGACGCCGAAGACGTAGACGACGTCTTCTTATGACAAACTCGACCTGACGACGGTACCCCCGGCGTTGGTGGCGCAGCGAGCAAACCCTGGTGTTCGTAGTCGCGGATGAGGCGGGCGCAGGTAAGGCCATCCATGATGGGCATTTCTATATCCATGAGGATGATGTCGAGGTCGTGTTTCTTGTCCGGCTTGGAACTGTCTTCCTCGTTGCGCCAGTATACGCTGTCTTTTAGCCATTCCAACGCTTCTTGGCCGTTGCCTGCTACGCTGATGTTCCAGCCGAACTTCTGCAGTTGCTTCCTAAGTACTTTTTGGTTGACGAGGTTGTCTTCCACGATGAGCACATTGAGTCTAATTGATTGCATGGCTTCTTCGCCTGTCATGGTACGACGAGGGACGGGCCGAGCTTGCACAGCGCGAGCGGAGACTTGGTCGGCTGGTGGGTGCGCGAGGCGCGTGCTGATGAAGAAGGCGAATGTTGAGCCTTGCTCTTTCTCGGAGTGGACGCCGATGGCGCCTCCTTGCAATTTCGTAAGCGACTTGGAGATGAAGAGACCGAGGCCTGAACCGCCGTATTTGACATGAGTGCGTGGCGTGGCTTGTGAGAAGCGGGAGAAGAGTTTCTTTTGCTCGTCTGTGGTCATACCACAGCCGGTGTCTTTGACCTTCAGCCAGAGGAATGCTATTTTGCCTTCGCCCCATTCAGCTTTGTCGGTGATGTCTGTCTTGGGCTTCTCATCGTCGGTGAAGGTTATCTCGTTCCAGCACTTAGGTGGACGGGTCCAGGAGCCACCGATAGTGACGGTGATGGCTTTTTGAGGGCGGTCTTTGGTGAATTTAATGGCGTTGGTTCTGGTATTGTTAGCGGAGGGTATGCGACATGGAGATGAGAATCTTACAGTAGATTGATGAGGACTTGCAAGAGGCGCGAGGGGTCAAGCATCGTCCAATCCATGCCATTGAAAGTCTCATCAATGAGGAAAGCGAGCTTAATGCCCGCCTGATTGCACTCGACATCGAACATGCGCACCGCATCCGATACCACCACCGCGGGCTGCACGCGCATTGGCGTGATCAAGATCAAGTTAGAATCAAGTTTCGACAGGGTGAGCACGTCGTCAATAACGCGTTTTTGGTGCATCGAACATGACACGATGATCAACAGCGATTCAATGCAGCTCTGAACTTCTGCTTCTGCCTTGGATGTTTCGGACGGATCTTTCGATGCTATGATTTGGCGTCTGGATAGTTGTTGGAGCGAAGCGATAACGGAGTCGGCGCATTGTATGACTGCCGACAGTGGATCTAGACGTTGGCATACGACGTTAGCGGTGGCTCATATAGCTCGTGCATAGGCGTTACTCACTCCTGAGTTCGTGCGAAGTCATGTCAATGAAGCTGGACTTGTCAACAAGAGTCGATTGCAGAGCGCACAGTGAAATACTTTTCTTGTTGTCGTTTTGCTTCCAGCGCTTCGTCGATGCGGCGCCGCTGAACGCTTTCAGCCCACTTGAACTGTGATATGTCGAATAATGTCCCCATAATGCCTATAGGGATTAGCATATGCGTGATGAAGAATGCAGAAAGTCACCATCTTACTTATCACTTTGCCGTTCTCGTCCAGCTCTGGGTAACTTGAACTTTGCACCCATATATTCGAGCGAATACCATCTTGGTTGACCCAGGTTTTGTTCAAACGAAACTGTATTCCCTTGGCTTTACCGCTCGTGAGCATGTTCTCCCAACCTTTCTTGACCTTTTCAACATCTTCCTTAGCGATGAGGTCAAACCAGTCGTATTGACTGACTGGGCCACGCGGATGGCCCGTCAGTTCGAAGAACTGATCATTGACGAAGTTCATGCCTATATCGATATTAGCAAGTACTTTGCGATGAGGCAATCTAGCTTACCACTCTCAGGTATGTATACGTATATAGCGGTAGGGGACACTTGGGCAAAGCGCGCGAATTTCATCTCTGCCAGTCGCGCTTGTTCGAGTGCTTCCCTAGAGATGTATTTAGTATGACTGAATCATGCATGCTGCTGATCAATCTTACACCTGTGCTTGTGCTGCCTCTTGGGACTTCTTTTGTGCGTTGATGTCTACGGTATTGCCGGCAATACCGATCAATTTCTTGTCATCATCGAAGACCGGAACACAAGCCGAAAGTACCCATTGCGCGGCGCCTTTCGTTCCTGAGCGTGCCTTCCATCGCATCTCGAACGTAACGGATTTTCCCTGCGAAAGCTTATTCCACATGGACATTACCAGTGCTTGGTCATCGGGGTAGACAAGGTCCATGAATGAGAACTCATCAGGGTTGACGTTTCTGGGTTGGGAGCTGGGAGTTGTCAATGACGTGAAACATCATTTGTCGTTGTACTTACCTCAATCTATACCATGCCTCATTGGCATGCAAGAGCTTTCCCTCTGCATTATACTCAAACACCCCAACATCGCTCATCTCCATCATGGTCTGAATACTTTCCCATCTGGCGTGGAGGTTTGTGTACGGGATATTTTTCAACGATATTGATCTATCGCGCTTGAGGTCATTGATGAGCTGTGCTTTTGATCGTGTAAAGACTGGCGCTCGACTCATAGTGAGATGATCGTCATCGTCTGCTTCTTCCTCCAAGGAAGGCGCTTCTTGCTGCTGCGCGTCGGATCCTGTCGCTCTCACTAGCTTGAAGCCACCATTTCTCCCTGCCAGTTCTGCGGTCCAAACATGACCACCGAATTCATATCGAGGTTTGTATTCACCCAGTGCTTGCGCCCATGAGCGGAACAGGAGTGATGCTCTTTCCTCGGCTAGGATGGAGTTGCAGAGAGGGAGTCTGCGAAACGCTTCATTACAGAAGACAAACTCGAATTCAAGAGCTATCTCACCCGCTCTGATGACGAACAGTGGTGCGGCATCAAATTCCAGATCCTCTAGGTCCAGCAGGCGCCTGTGGGAGGGCTCGGCCGACGGCATCTCGGATGGGTCGTAGTAACCCTCGACGGGACATAGACGAAGGATAGGCGATTGAAGTTTGGCGTAAAAGATGATGATCGGTAAATGCTTGGTCTCAGCGCATAATGCAAGATGCGGACGTAGCAATGCGACGGAAAGGGCGGTGTCCAGCAGGTGTGTCGCGATGAAGCTGCACGGGCAAGGCAGACTCGCCACTGGGGAAGTCAAGACCACGCTGTATTCTCAAGTGGCTTTGCAATTGATATCCAGACTATGAATGTGGCGTGTATAACTCGGATGAGAATTGGGTGAGTTGGTGCGTTGTTTGTGGTAGCGTACCGGCTTACCCTAGGTGTGTGAGCCCGGAAAGAGCACCGGTGAAGTACCCAATGTGCGGCATTGCAGCTGCTGTATGTCCCTGAAAGTGGGGTCAAAATCGGACCGTTCTAGTTCTCGATGCCCGCAGTTTCTCACTAAACGTAGATGCACCGGATATCGGATCAGCGTACAGGAGAAGGAAACGTTCTCAGTGATTGGTCAGTGTGGCGAGTGTAAAGCTTTGATCTGGCCGCTAGTTCAATCTCGAACGCGGGAGGAATTGGAATAGCGGAAGCGAATCCTTCAGGGTCTGAAAGATCCTCGATTTCGGCGCAATGCTCCGCTACCAACTGCTTCTTTTGGAGACAATGATATTTACTCACATCCCACGCGAGTGCCAACCCAGGTGGCCTCGCAGCATTTCAGCGTGGCACACCGGGATGACCGTCCCAAAGTCGAAGGCAACGTCGTTAATCCCAGACATACGTGCATAATAGTCAAAGAGTACCTTGGCGGATGTCCCGAGAGGGTGAAGTAGGTGATAGTGATTCTCACTCAGCTTGAGGAATGGGGCCGTCACTAGCAGATGTCGCCGTCAGAGCAACGCAGCCTTGGCCAGACAGTGCACGATCAAGAGATGCAGCCAGCTGTATGCATGACCATTGAGGGTCTTGGGAGAGTGCGTTGTCAGTTATCGTCCCTCTTCGCGAGCTGCACTGCAGGTGGTGACACGTCTGATCACGTGCTAGCGCGCTTTTGATCCCTTGGCGTGTAACCCTGGGTTTGGGTCAAGTCGCGACTGCCACGCATTGGTGACACCGCGACCTTCCCCAGCAATCGCCAATCGCGGTCGCATTTCCAAAATTTCGAACTACTACAGGTGTTCAGCCGTCGCTTGATACGCTGACATGAGCGACGATGAGTTTGGCTGGTCTTCGGGTGACGAAGAGCAGTTCGCTGCTAGTACAAACGTTGCGCTTGATGGAAAGCGCAAGATCGCCAACGACAGCGCAGACATTGAGTCTTTAACCAAACGGAGTCGACATGAGGAGAACACCACCGATGCGCCATCGGCCAGCAGAATCCTCGCAAACAACATCCTGAAAGGACGCTTCGGGCTGAATGGCTTTCGGCTCGAACAGGAAAGAGCTATTACCCGCCTCCTTGATGGAGGAAGTGCAGTTGTTGTATTTCCCACTGGAGGTGGAAAAAGCCTGTGCTATCAGGCGAGTCCTGTCTTATGAAACGAAATGCTCGTCTAACTTTCCAAGGTGCCTGCTGTGGCGTTCAGATATCAAGACGAAGAGCTT